CCTTATATTAAAATACACCTTTAAAGTAGAACCAATGTACCAAATATTGAGTATATATTAAATGTTTAGTATATCCTAAATGGCTCAGGTTTGTCATTTTTTTGGTGTACCAGGTATCTCTAGAGAAAATCTCTTATTTTAATATTTTAAACTCAGATGGTATTTGAGACTTACCAATTTAAGCCAGAGACTGAGAAATCGAGGATCATTATAATATCTTTTTTCTCCTTGTAGTGCTTCTATAGCTCTTTCTAATAATGCTGACATATTACTTTCCTTCCCTCCCTGAGGATAGCTCTGCTCTGTCCAGTTAATATACCTGAACAGGAAGAAAAGAAAAAAACATTTTTAAAGTTTAACATGTACTTTTGTTCTTGCTCCAAAACCCATTCTGGATTTTTTAAAGCAGAAATATCTAATATATTGAAAATGATTATTTAGAGGTCCTCCATGACATGTTCTAAGCTTGTCTCCCTCAAAATTTCCCAATTATCTCTAATAAGTGCCTGTTGGAAATAATGGGGATGGGGATAGAAGGGTATATAGCTCACAGCTGCATGCCACAAACTTGAAATTTCTTCAATTCTAAATACCTCAGGAAGAGACACTATGATTATTCTGTCTCTCTGTGTCCCCAAGACACCACTTTATATTCTGGCAGTCTGCTCGGTATACCCCAATTTGAGAACCAAGGCCATAAGGACTCATCTGTTAAGTTTCTATAGCCTTTGTTAAATAAAAAAGACCAACCTATCCCAAACATCCAGAGGGTCATTTCCAGCGTAAAATCGAATTTCAGATTCAAATGCCCTGAAATTTAAACAGAAAATGTTAGTATAAGCAATCGTGATAACAGACAAATGAACACGTATCACCTCCATTTTTATTCATTTAGTAGGTATTTAATATCAATCTAGATAACTCCACTGGAGTTTGAGGGTTTGTTAAATAGAATGAAAAAGAAATAATTAGTATTCTGCCTGATAACATGAGGGACAAAACATGTAGAAATTAGAGAAACACATTCCAAGACAACATATAGAAAAGCAATTTTACACAGCAATTTAAAGCTCGGGAACAAGACTCCCTAGGTTTAACTGCAGCTCCACTAATCACTAGCTGAGTGACACTGGACAAGCTATTTAATCTCTAAAGTTTCCTCATCTGCAAAACGGAGATAATAATAGTACCTATCTTATTAAGTTGATTAGTATTAAATGTCAAGTCTTTAGACATAGTAAGTACTCAATAAGTGATAGTTATTATTTTATATGTACGTGATAGTATTGAGCAAACACACACACACACACACACACACACACACACACACACACACACACACACAAACACACATATATAAATAAGAATCTTAAAGAAAAATTCCATAGGCAACATTAGCCAGAGAAGAAGAATACCATATGTAATTTGGGAAGTGCCTTAAACAAATTATAAAGTATGACTTGATAAAGACTTGGGAAAGGCAGAGGACAAAGACTAAGTTAAGAATGACCAGCTACAAAAGGGGAAGTATTGAGTAATAAACCTCAATTTAGATAAATTAACAAATACTATATTAAGGAGTTATGTTTGATACAAAGTATAATAAAATAGTCCTTGACACAAAGGAATTTATACTCTAATAAGAAAGACAAAGTATACAAACAAAAAAATTAACTAAAAATACAAAGCAGTATAGTATATTACAATTACCAAGAATCGATAGTTAAGGCTTTAAGAAGTCAAAGAAGCAGCCTCAGAAGTGGGACTCTGATGGAATCATAATATTTGAAAGAAAAAAGGAGTTTTTCAAGAGAGAGGGAAATCAGTATTAAAAGCTGTGAAAGTGGAAACTGAGGAAGTTGAGCTATAACATAAAGTCAGTATTGAGAATAAATGGAGCTATCTGGAGAGGTAAGAAGGGCATACTTTAAATGTAAATCTAGACTCTGGATTTCATCCACTCAAGCCACTACTGGTTTTTAATCAGGGAGTTAGTTATCTTGAATATAAGTAAAGATTTCAAAAAGATTAATCAAGTAACATCATAAGAATAAAACATTAGAAAAGGGGACATAATTATGAAGCTAATATAGTGATTTCAATATGAGATAATGAGGGGATTATCTGCAGAAATGGTGAAAAAATAAAATCCAAGGCACCACTGATAAAAATCAGCAATCCTCCAAATAAATCGATAGATTCAATGCAATCCAGCCAAAATCCCAGCAGGCTCTTTTCTAGAAATTAAGATAATTTAAAAAATTTGTTTGGAAAGGCAAAGGACCAAAAATAGCCAAAATGATTTCGAAAAAAATATAATAAAATTTGGAGAACACACTCTACCTGATTTCAAGATGTACCATATAAAGCTAATCAAGACAATGTATAATTGGTGAAAGAATAGACAATTCGAGAACAATGGAACAGAATAGAGTCCAGAAATAATCCATTCATATACAATCAAATGATTTTTGACAAGGGCCCCAAAGCAATTCAATGGGAAAAGGAAAAAAAAAATCTCTTCAACAAATGAAGGCAGAACAACTAGATATTCATATTGGGACAGGTAGGAGGAGGGGGTAGGGATAACTTTTACCCCAATCTTACACCATACACAAGGATAAACTTAAGATGACTCATAGTCCTAAAGATGAAAACTAAAACAATAAAGAACTAGAAAAAACAGAATACCTTTGCAACTTTGGAGGAGCAAAAGTCTCCTAGAGAAGACAAAAAACACTAACCATAAAAGAAAAACACTAATGAATTCAACTTCATCAAAATTAAAAATTTCTTGCTTATCAAAAATGCCACCAAGAAAATAGCCATGGACTGGGAGAAAATATATGCAACACATATATTTGATAAAGGACTTGTATAAAGACTATATAAAGAACTCCTACAATCTAATTTTAAAACTAGGCAAAGTATCTTAACAAATACACAAAGCACAAAACAAGGTATACAAAAGGCCAATCAGCATGCGAAAAAGTGCTCACCATCATTAATCACCAGGGAAATGGGAAGTAAAACCATAATGAAATACTATTACACACCCACCAGAATGGCTAAAATGAAAAAATTTGACAATACCAAGTACTGGAGTGGATCTGGAGCAAACAGACTCTCACACATTGGTGGTAGGAGTGTAAAATGTCACAACCTCTTTGGAAAACTGGCAGTTCCTTAAAAAGTTAAACATACATTTATTCTATGACCCAGCAATTGCATAGAAGTGAAAATCTATGTCCACAAAAAGCCTTACACAAGAATGTTCATAGCAGCTTTATTCATAAAGCACACAAAACTGGAAAGAATCTACCGTATTTGCCGGCGTATAAGACGATTTTTTGGCCCTGAAAAATATGCCTCCAAGTGGGGAGTCGTCTTATACGCCAGGTACACTTCAGATAGACTGCCCATAGTGCTTGCCCCGTGCCATAGTGGCCTCCCGATNCCTCTACAGCTAAGATGGTGAACAACAGCTCGACCTGGAGCTGGGCTGCCGTAGTCGCCGGTGACGGCGTAGGCTGCAGTGAAGCTGCAGAGGGCTGCCATAAGCTACTGTGTGTGGCCGGCAGCCAGCATGAGCGGCTGGCAGCCAATGTGAGCTGCCAAGAGCCGCCGTGAGCGGCTGTCCAGAGGCCGGCAACCGATCTGCCTCGCCCGGGAAGAGCGCAATGATAATACCAACATGGGCTAGTGAAGCAACGTCCTCCACAACTAGAATGAAGAACAAAAAGACAGCAACTTGTCTGTTCCCCTTCCCCGATTGCCCAATAAAATCTTTAAAAAAAATAAAAATAAAAATTTCCATTCCATTATGGACTGTTATTGTTTTAAAATACAATAAAAATAGAAGTTACTAGATAAATGATGATGTGCTTGGATGTTATGGCAATGTCAAATTGTTAACAAAATTTCTAAATGATCTATTTTTGTATTTACCTTGAACAGTCTGTAGACCATTCTTTCAGTTAATACTGGGCTAGGCTATGATTTTTACTTTATGATAATGTCATTGCTCTTCAGTATCAGCACCAGGTTAGCAAAATTAAGAGAAATTATTCTAATTAATTGGTACTTTTTTTTTCTTTTTTTTTAGCTGAGCCATCCTGCTACCTATTGGCAGCTTAGCGGCAGTTCCGCTCGGGCCGGGCATCGAACCGCTGTTGCTCAGAGCTCAAGCTCTTGAGCGATCTCTTAACCAACTAAGCCACTCGGCCGACCCTTTAATTGGTACTTTTAATAGCTCCAACTATATATAATCATAGAATTCTGGTATTAAATCACTTTAGAGGTTTACCTAGTCTAACCTTTTAGTAAATTGCATATAAGAATATTATACAAGGTAAGAATATTATACAGGATAGAATGAAAAACAAACTCCACTAGTATACCACCAGGGACTACGATATAGTCTTCGTGCTAACAAATCTGTTTAGCATTCTTTGAGTGCCATCCTTTGTTACAAATTCCTGTAAGTGATATTCCTAAGGTAATTTCTCCAACTTGTCAATAAGGGTAACAAGATATGTCAAATGTCCTGCAGAAATCAAGATACATTATGACTTCAG